GGCCTGGTGACCATCTTCAAGTCGGACGGCATCTTCGCGCTGGTGAAGCTGCTGTCGAGCAGCGTCGAGTCGGTGCTCTTCTACGCCATCACCACGCTGCACAATCTGCTGCTGCACCAGGAGGGCAGCAAGCAGGTGGTCCGGCAGGCGGGCGGCCTGCAGAAGATGGTGCAGCTGCTCGCCCGGGACAACTACAAGTTCCTCGCCATCGTCACCGACTGTCTGCAGATTCTCGCCTACGGCAACCAGGAGGCGAAGCTGATCATCCTGGCGAGCGGCGGGCCGCAAGAGCTGGTGCGCATCATGCGCCAGCACACCTACGAGAAGCTGCTCTGGACTACGAGTCGCGTCCTCAAGGTGCTCTCCGTCTGCTCCAGCAACAAGCCCTCCATTGTGCAGTACGGCGGCATGCAGGCACTCGCCAACCACCTCACCCACCAGAGCCAGCGGCTGGTGCTCAACTGTCTGTGGACGCTGCGCAATCTGTCCGATGCGGCCACTCGATGCGAACAGCTGGAGACGCTGCTCCAGGTAGGAAATTTTGGATAAAATTGTTTGTTTGTGTGCTAACCTTATTTATTATATTCCACAACAGAACCTCGTCCAGCTGCTGAACACCACTGACATCAACATCGTGACCTGTGCGGCAGGCATCCTCTCCAATCTGACTTGCAACAATCAGAACAACAAGACCATCGTCTGCAATGTGGGCGGCATTGAGGCGCTGGTGCGGACGATCATCCAGGCGGGCAACCACGAGGAGATCACCGAGCCGGCGGTCTGTGCCCTCCGCCACCTCACCTCTCGGCACGCCGAGTCGGAGATGGCGCAGAATGCCGTCCGCCTGCACTACGGCCTCCCCGTCATCGTCAATCTGCTAAACCACCCCAGTCGGTGGCCGCTGATCAAGGCCGGCGTCGGTCTGATCCGCAACCTNGCCCGTCATCGTCAATCTGCTGAACCACCCCAGTCGGTGGCCGCTGATCAAGGCCGGCGTCGGTCTGATCCGNAGGCGCTGGTGCGGACGATCATCCAGGCGGGCAACCACGAGGAGATCACCGAGCCGGCGGTCTGCGCCCTCCGCCACCTCACCTCGCGGCACGCCGAGTCGGAGATGGCGCAGAATGCCGTCCGCCTGCACTACGGCCTGCCCGTCATCGTCAATCTGCTGAACCACCCCAGTCGGTGGCCGCTGATCAAGGCCGGCGTCGGTCTGATCCGCAACCTGGCGCTCTGCACGGCGAACCACGCGCCGCTGCGCGACCACCACGCCATACCGCGCCTGGTGCAGCTGCTCAACAAGGCCTACCAGGAGATCCGCAACCGAAACAGTCTGGCCTCCTCGGCCAATGGTGGCGGCGCCGGCGGTGGCGCTGGTGCTGCCAACGGCGGTGCTGGCAGTCAGAGTGGCTCCGGCACTGCCCTCACCGACGGCGTGCGCATGGACGAGATCGTGGAGGGCACGGTGGGCGCGCTGCAGACGCTGGCGAAGGACCCGGAAAATCGGGCGGTCATTCGCCGGCAGAACGTCATTCCCACCTTTGTGCAGCTGCTGTACAGCGACATGGAGAACATCCAACGTGTCGCCGTGGGAGTGCTCTGTGAGCTGGCCAGTGATAAGGAGGGTAAGTGGCAAACAAAGAAGTGCTGAGAAGACACTTCTGCTGCTGTTGGTGATAAGTTATACTGGTGTGTCTAATACTTTGCTCCTCTTTTTGTAGGAGCCGAGATGATCGAGGCAGCGGACGCCACCTCGCCGCTGACACAGCTGATGCAGTCGCGCAATGACGGCATCGTCACCTACGCTGCGGCGGTTCTCTTCCGCATGTCCGGTGAGAAGTCGCCCGAGTACAAGAAGCGCCTCTCAATGGAGCTAGGAACGGTCTTCCGCGATGATGGCACTGGAATGGGCGCCGGCGTCGGCTGGGGCGTGAACGGTCCCAACCTCGACCTGGTCGACATGAACGGTCTCATGGGCGGCGATGAAATGGCCGCCTTTGGGGATCCCATGTACGCCCACCACGGCCCACCACAGGGCACCCACCAGGGGCCGCCTAGTGTGGCCTCCTCGGTGCGCAACCCATATCACCACCAGCAGCCATTCGATGCTCAGGTACGCTGCAGTTGCGACATTTATTAGAGCACTAACAACAACAACAACATTTGTTTTGTTTTCAGATGATGGACACAATGGTTAACCACGGTGGATACGGTCACACTGGCATGCAGGGACCAATGGACGTGCCGATGGACATTGGCGATGGCATGGCCTTTGAGTCGAATGCAGCCATGCAGCAGGGCGGCAACCCGCAAGCGCAACAAGGTCAACAGGGACAAGGAATGGGACAGGGCCAGATGGGCAATTGGTAAGTGGCCGCTTACGCTTTCTGTGGTGTCAATTGCTCATCTGAATGTTCTGTCTTTTCCTTTTAGGTTCGACTCTGATCTCTAAAAAGCCAAAGCTTAGCTGCGCTTCAGCTGCTGGCGGTTGAGCGGATTTGTGAGTATATTGCTCGCTAAATATAACTTCACCAATTCCACTCTGACTCGCTGTAGCCACCACTAGCTGTTGTGGTTTACCAACACAACCAAAACCACAACCAAACAACCACCACCACCCCAACCAATTTCCCCATCACCTTTCTCTTTGGCATTTTTATAATCTTTTTTTGCTGTAGCTGTCATTTGTCTCCCTCATTCTCACTCCTCTTTTCTCAATCNCACCACCACCCCAACCAATTTCCCCATCACCTTTCTCTTTGGCATTTTTATAATCTTTTTTTGCTGTAGCTGTCATTTGTCTCCCTCATTC